GGCGATAACGATAATAATAATAGTGATCACCTTGGATTACCACAACACCTTCTTTCTTTGAAATATTCATACGTACTAGATTATAAACCCAAAGTTAATAATAACCGCATCCCTCTCGTCCTCGACTACCAGCCCAATATAAGTTCTCTTACCCGCCAACTTAAAACTGATTATAAAATTCTCAATAGAGATAAATCTATTTGCCTCCTTTTTGAAGACCCTCCCCTACTAGCCAAAAGACAACCCCCCAATCTTAAGACTATTCTTCCATCCTCTAAACTCCACAAGAATTCCCACTCTTCTGGTAATGTTAAATGTAGTAAACCCAGATGCCAAGTTTGCAATTTCATGTGCACATCTGATACATTCACTATTCCTAGTACTAATATCACTATTAGACCCCCTCCACTTACTTGTGATTCTTCTAACGTTATTTACATTTTATTTTGTAACAAATGTCAAATTGGTAATTATATAGGAGAGACCGGCACCAAATTCCGCCTCTGATTTAATAATCACAAAAAATCAATCAGAGACAACTCCACTGGTTTCCCAGTAGCCTGTCACTTCAATCTACCCATAGAGAAAATATTTTCTCTGTGATCTACCCAACCATAGTATTAATGACATAAGATTTATTTTGATCGATAATAACTTTTCATCTCTCTCACACAGACGCAAAGAAGAATTGGAATGGATTCTTAGAACTAATTCTCATATCAACGGTTTAAATAAAGACTTAGATTACTTATCAGACTATTCATTTATGTATGCTTAATTTTCCTCTTGGTTCCCAGGCCCTTATTTAGCTTTTATCTACATTGTTTATTCCATAATAATAATAATAATTTATTTGGATATTCACCTTTGAATCAGTGGCACTCAACCACAGGCGTGGTGCATCCTAACAACAAGAAAAATACAAAAATTACAATCAAAATGAAAGACATCAAAACAACAAGATAATCAATTTAGCTAAAACTAAAAGAGAAAATATTTCTATTTTCTCTATGACAAGAGGAACATCAGTCTCTAGATGACACGTCTCTCTTCTGCAACAGTCGTACGGAAAACGGAACGCCGACCAGAGACACCCATCAGCCAACAACCTGATCGTAACAGGGCTGTTACAACCAAGAACGCACTCCCGCACAGCTACTACAAAAGAGAGACCTGTCACTACAGCTGTACAAAGTGTAAAAAAGTTTTTTAAAAAGTCAAAACAGCTAACAACAATGAAACCTAGTGCCTTACAGTAGGAGCCATCCATTGTCTTTATAACCGTCACAAGAACACAAAACATACTCTTACACATGATCTTCTTTCCCCTCCCTACAGTAATGATTTTGTCACCCGGAAACCATCGTCCGCAACAGAGCAAACCCTTCCTCTCATCCCACTTCAGAATATTTTGAACTATTGTGAACTGAAGTACAATAGACAGTCCCTAAACAACTAGCATATTAAGAGCTTAATAAATCATTCCTAAGCTTCCATGATCTCTTAACATAAGATTTGCAAAATTTATCAAAAATATCATGAACATCATAAACATAGTCACAATGCACCTCTCCCACAAGAACAATACTCAATTTAGTACAAAGATCACTGGTGATAAAATACTCCCATACATTTAGGCAATCAGTATTAACTAGCTTATTTTCTAAAACATGATATTCTTCAACTCTAATGGTGTTTAGTTGATTACATGTGAATAAAAAATGTTTTATATCTTCAACACCATTATTACACAATTGGCAAGTGCCATCACTATTGGGTACCCATTTACAGGTCCTATGTCCTAATGGAAGAGTATTTGATCTCATTTTGAATTTTAGGCTTGCACCCATAAAATCTGTCTGGTCAAGTAAATATTTTTCCATATTCAGACTGCTCTTAATTAAAGAATATTTAGAAAGTGACGATTTTCTTAACATTTCGCTATTCCAAAGAGAAACATATGAATTAAGAATTAACTCTTTGAAATAGTTAACCCAACACATATTGGATGCAACTCCAAGGCAAGAATTTTCAAAAATTGAACCAATTTCCAACCTTATATCAGTACAAGTCTTAATGAAACTAGAGAGCAGTTTATAGCGTGGCTCAGCAATACTATTTAGACTAAGGGATGTATAATTAAGCATAAAGTTTGGTCATCTATGCTTATCTAAATTCATTACATGATTAATGTACTTAGCTCTAAGTATGTCTTGATTTACTTTTGTTGGCACCCAACCTAGGTCCCCATATAGAGCTTCTTTTGGTGTGTTTCTGGATGATTTAAGGATATATCGCGCCATTTGAATTTGGAGAGACTCAATTTTGTCAATGTCCTTTTGGCTTTTGCTAATCCACACGGAACAAGCATAGTTAATACTTGGAAGAGCAATGGTTTTCCAAAGTATGTCGCCATAATAAACTCTATTAAAATTATCGAAACGATCTATAATTGGCGATGATTCTATTTCCTTTAATGATAGTTTGGTCAATATGAAAATGGTCTGAAATGCTTCTTGAGATATGGGTACCAAGGTATTTATATGATTCAACCTCTGAAATGTAGTTTTCATCCTTCCACTGCTTATTACTGTCAGTGCGCTGCCCAACAATAAGAATTTTTGATTTTTCATGGTAAAAATTTAGCTTCCATGTCTTCGCAAATGTAGAAGCTAAATTAAGCATCTTATTCAGTTCATTTTCATCATTTGCCAATAACACAACATCATCTGCCCAGAAAAGGCTTCCCATGCATACAGTGTGTATACGAACACCTAAATCATGTTTTTTAAGCAAAATGGTGAATTCATTCATGAGAATACAAAACAAAATTGGAGATACAACACAACCCTGCTTGACTCCCTCATTAATATCAAAATAGTCAGTCTCAATATCCCCAAATCTAACTTTTCCTCGTACATCACAGTAAAGACTGTCAATAATCTTCCATAAGCGACCCCTAATTCAAATATTCCATGCAGCCATTAACATTCCCTCCCTCCAAACCGTATCAAAGGCCTTCTTAAGTATCTTTATATGCATATTAAGTATCTTTATATGCCGCCTTTAATTAGGTTCTATTGTTATTTTAATTTGTAACCAATACCATTTCCTTATACTTGCTTTACTTTGTATTTTTGTCAGCTGTCCTCACACTGAGGAAGAACACAAGAGTGTTTGAAAAATGTTTGTGTGATTTAATAAATTATATTGCTTCTAGTATGCTGTTTTTTATTGCTGTCTTTCTATTGTTTTTTATTGCTGTCTTTTCTGTATATATATATATATATATAGGCCTATATATATA